CCCCCCCCCTCCTCCACTGCCTAAGTGATTTTTTCAAGAAATCCTACAATGCTCTTAGCACCCTTTTTTTTCACCGTCCCCCATCTCTCACACATATTTCTTTCACGAAATTAAACAGGATCTCCGAGAGAACCTTGACAGTGAACTCAGTGGCGATTTTGGAGAGTTGGTTGATCTGCTCTTCTTCACGCCTGCTCAACTAAAAGCCGAGATCTGCTACAAGGCCATCCGCGGCCTCGGTACAGATGAGGATGCTCTCATCGAGGTTATTTGCACGTCAAATACCGAGGAACTCAAGGAGCTGAAAGAGGAGTATGCCAAAGGTGCGTTAAATTAAAACACTGTCAAATCGTGTCCCGCGAAGTATACTTGGCGAAGACTTAATTAGCCGAGAGGATTGTACTCGAACCAAATCCTTCGATCTCAGGAGTCGGTTTTACAATTTTTTCGGAGAGAACGCCAAAGAAAGCCTTTTTAGCACATTCAGGTTATATGTTTATTTTTTGTGCAAGGCGGCAGGAACAGTGAACTTTGGTTGGTCATACGGTAGCTTTCTTTGGCTCTAACCTCTCGTGTACCCGGCCTGTAGTTGGTTCAGAAGGTTTCTACCGGAACCATTTGGTTCGAGATGTAGTACTTACCAGGATAAGTAGACAGTTTACTTTAGTTACATTCCCTGGCGGGTTCTTTTCTATCACACAAACGTTCGGTCAAAAGAACAGCAACTGCCCAAACTCAGTCGTGGTAGCTTCGAATTCCCGCGAAAACAGGATTTAGTTTACCGATAAAGCGAGGAGTAAGGTTAGATTTATTTGCAGATTTCACAAAATATCTGAAGCATGATAGAGATCAGGTTTCAAATAAAGTCTGGGTTAAGGGCATATTTAAACTTCCTGGAATTATGCATACGGCCATTTTTATTATTCAGGCATGGCGTTCCGATGCCCGTTAAGGAGCCTCATAAGTCATCCTTAGAAAAAGGGCATCAGTAATTTGCGGACAATGATGGAACTAGTTCCGGCAGTCCAAGTCTTATGAATACATCTTCTGTGCACATAGAGCGGCTTGAAACATGGACCAAAGTTTACGAACTTTTGTATTCGGTGGAGCCAGGTGTTTTTTCACTTCTAGTTAAACATTTGTACCAAGCTTGAAATATAGACCAGGTTGTTAGAACTTTTATTTTCTCTAGATATTCAATCAAAACACCCTTTTAAACTGAACTGTCCAAGGCCAGTTAAAGGGCTGGCCAAGGCCCTCCGACTTAAATCCCGCTGATATAGAATAAGCACTCACTCTACTTCAGGTTGCATTCAACTGTCTTCTCCAGTGTACCCGCTTGTTTGTTTGAAGCCTTAGACTAACAGGGCTAACGGGGGACTGTTTTTTTTGTAACGTCGACGTAAATTACCTTGTGTCCACCTCGGCTTCAGGCGGAGAAAAAATATATTTGGATCGGTCATGCTTTGTACAAAGGTACCTCATAGGCGCAACACATGTCAAAAAATGACGACTGAAAGACCCCTTACACTACTGTAACATTTCCTCTGTGTAAGCGGTTACGCAGGAACCCCACAACACTTTGGTTTATGAGAAATAAAAGGACCAAGATTTAACTTAGGAGTAAGCATGAATGGCCATTGCACGTAACCTGTTATGAGCAACGCACGTCTTCATTTTTACAATTTTACTTGTCAACGT